ACTTATATCTAAATATGTTTATATGTATATACATCGTAGTCACTGGAAATGGAAAGGGGCGGAAAACTGAACTCTCTCAGCTGACGGCCTTTCTCTCACCCTCACCCTGATTCTCTCACTTTGACACAATTTCCCCGAGCGCCAGTGCACTCTTAAATGGGCTGTGTCGGTCGCTCTTCGCAACACAAAATCAATAAAATCTGGGCCACCATTATTAAAGGTTGATTAAAACATCATGAAGGCGTCTTGTTTGAGTTTTTGAGCCGAAAGGCCATGTGGCCAAAAACCCCGCTCTGTGTCTATTATCGTGGCTTTCGAAAAATAATCTTCGTGGAGCCCCCAATTTCCGTTTTCCTATATCCCATTCCGGTTGCAAAATTACAACCATTTCCACGTGTCTAATGTACTGGCGCAAATGTGAAAATAGGGCTTTTCAAGTTCACTTGGCCAGAACATACACGCGCAGTGCGGAGCAAACAGATTAATGTAAATGCTTACATAACTCTGCACTTAAACTGCATTTACGTTACTTGCAAGCCCGAAAATAAAATTCTTCAAATTTATATAGAGTGGCACAGGGTTTGAATAGCCCAAACATTGCGGTTTAAATGTGAAAGACGACTTCATTCATATGGCTGCCCCGGAAGGCCCTGCAGAAGGTCATCCGATCGACCCAAATTTTCAAAACATTACCGATAGTTGCCTCAATGGCGACTTAAATCCCGTACGTTAGGTTGTCAATCGTCTTTGGGTGGTTGGCATAGAACTTATACTTGAAGGCACCCCACAAAAAATAGTCCAACGGGGTAAACTCGCAGCTGCGAGGCTGCCAGTTGAAATCGCCTTTTTGTCTGATTATTAGGTTTTCGAACGTACCGCGCAGAAAGTCGACTGTAACGTTGAACCTGCTGAACGGTCAATGTCTTCATGTTCCATTCGGGGGAAGAAAAATTCATCCAACATGCTGCGATAGCGGTCACCATTGACGGTTTCGGCGGGCAAATGATGCCGCCTAACCACATACCACATCAAACAGTTACTCGAGGTGGATGCATTGACATTGGCTTCTCCCAAATGCGCTATTGACGTAACCACCGGAAATGAGGTTCATCTGAAAATAAGATTTTTCGACATAAATGCTTTTCTCCCACCAAGCGCTTTTCAGCCCTTAGCACTTCCCCAATTAAACTACATTATTGGGGCTGTTCAATAACAAAAATATTTAAAAAAAATGACCCCGTTTTTTAGGGCCACTTTAACTTTTTCGTGGACCGCCCTGTACTCTTTTGTCAATTAAGCCTAGTACTCTGATCGACGAAATCCGTTTGTCAGCTAAGAGATAGAGCGAGAGGCGAATAATCGGCGGAAAGTTTTCGTCAGTGTCCTGTGACCTGACCTTGATAGGACTTCATAACCTTCATAACTTCTAAAATAATAGCTCGATTTTGAAATTCATGTTTGAGGATAGATATGACCTGCGTAGGAACCTACTATAATTTGCATGCCAAGTCGGAATTTCTAGCTTTTAAAGCTTCCGAGATCTTGACGTTCAAATAGCCGGACAGACAGACGGATATGGCTAGATCGACTCGGCTATTGATCCTGATCAATAATATATATACTTTTTATGGTCCTTTTACCTATTACATATTTTTCAACGAATACAATATACCCTCCTACACTACGAGTAAAGCGTTGCCAGCTGTCTAGGAAGAACACTGGGATAGCGTTCGTCAGGCCCTGCCGCAAAGAATACAAAATTAAATCCTTTAGTGTTGGAGTTGGCAGAGCAGAGTACTTCTCGGATAAAAAATTACGGGAAAAAATAAAAAAAAACTCTGAAAAATCGCTAGCAAAAAAAATGTATTGACAACAGTTTTTCCGCAGAAGAGAGTTTTCGGTCTGGGTACCAGGCTTAAAAATAGGTGGCAAAAATTTGTGAACCAATTAAGTAACCTCCGACCAGTGTTAGGGTGTTCCTAGATCTTTGTACCTAGGTACACTTTTTTGATACATACATTTTGATACCGCTAAATTGAATTTCGTATTATTTCCGCCAATATGCTACAAAAAATAGCATAATTTCAATGCAACTTGAAGAAAAGATAATACCACCCCATATGCAAAATATGAAATGTTTCTTGTACATTTTTCTATAAGCAGAGCGTATACACAATACCCTAACAAATCTGCAACTTCGTAAAGAACAAATTGGCCTCAAAATGAGTATATTTCAAAAAAAGTGGATTAAAAAATGTGTTATTTTTAACCTACATGCTTGACCAATTTTGTTCCTTTTACTTTTCCTAAGTACTTATTTTCTCAAATACCTCCCAACACTCTTATTAAGTAATCTTCATCAGGATCTTGTAACGAGTTTCCAAAACTTTAAGAAGCTGAATAATAGTACAAAAATGATCTTGGCTTAAAAAGTTTGGTATTAGAAAGTTAGGAGCGAATATCTTATAGTCGGGGAACTACAAAATAACGGTATCACTAATCGATATTTCAACGAGGAAAGGTCCCCTTATTTTTTAATAAAGAGCGAAAACTGTAGATTTCAGGGAAACTCTTATTCTGTGTGGATATACGCGGTGAAATTCGTTCGCTACAATGCTTTTGTCTTCCAATTAGCGAAATTAAAATCAATTAAGTTTCAGCCGGCAATTTGCGTGCCAGCATAAATAGTAAAGTGTATTTAAAGTATTTCACGACGGTGAGCAGATTGTGTGAATATAATTAAATTAGGTTACACAAATGTAAATTTTTATAAATTTTGATCAAGCACGTTCGTTAAACTGTTTTTTTTTCCGATTCCCTTGAAGCGTAAATTTACAAGTTAATAGGAATTATTTAAGTGTTAAGAAATCTTAAATTTGCTCATGTGCTCATTGCTGTGCATATGTACAGTGAGCTCGTCAAATGTCCACTTATTTTGGTTTATTGGTTCTTGCTTATTGTTTGAATTGCATTCATCATATTTTTTTTAATGTGCAATATACTTTTCTTTACACAGCAAATCGAATCGAAAATGCCTTTTAATCATAGACACTGCATTATTAATGGCGAAATTGCCAAATTTCAACGGTTTGTGGCCGTTATTCAGGTTGCTATCAAAGTATTTATCTGACTGAGCTGATACAGGTGTCAGTGTTATTCCACTGGCATTACATAAAACCCGCAAAAATATAATAATTTAAGGTCTCGCTGATCTGAATAGCATGTTTGCACTTTGTCGCACTCAACATATTATTATCGACAAAAAGCTCCGAGATTTTCAATACATTGCATAACGCTTTGGGGATTTTCCTTGCATCACTCAGTGGTAAAATTGCACTCACTCGTTATTATGTCGTGCATTTCTAACCTGTAGATATGCTCACTGGGCAGCACTTTGTTTTACAAAATCATCAAAAATTATTTTTAGTTATTGCTTGCAGCATTTCCCGCAGATTATTGAGCGTTGGAGCAGGCGTTGCTCTAATTTTTCCCCGAGTGCCTGTGACGCAGGGGTATTTTAAAGAGTGAGAGAAAGAGAGGAGACCCAGGGGAAAATGAGAGACCCTGTGCTAAAGACAACACAAAACAGCTGACCAAACTGTGCACGTCTGTGTTTGTGTGCGTGAACTATTGACATTTTCTCGCTCATTTTATTATTTTTTCTCACCTGTGCACTGCACTTGCCAAAATATTGCGATCTACGGCATAGAATGAGCTTAAAGCATCATTATATTTATTATCACCATTCTATGAGCAACAAAAACAAAATAAGCTGTTCTTATTTAGACACAACAGCAAGATGTTTTACCTCACCAACGTAAAAAAAATAAAGGCACATGATTCTCGTTCGTTTATCTAAGCACACACAAAAATTGAAATGACAAACACACTGCCATGCCGGAATGTCTATACAAACTTAAATGTGTACAGCGCAATACACATTTTTGCCTGTATGTACGAACGTACGTAGATACCAATAGGCCACCGACGAACCCCGAGACGAAGCGCCAAATGATGGTCTGGTCTGACTCAGTGTAGGTACCGTCTGGCCCGGGCTCGTATTTGCTTTTTTTGCTTTCTGTTCTGGCAGAGATGCAGAAACAGCTGCAGTCGATTACCACTGGTTTCTGTTTCTCCTCTTCGGCTGCAATATGCAACTATCGCTATCGAATCACCGATGCTGCCACAAACTTACGCAAATAAATCTACTACACATGCACTATTATAACACTCGGATTTTGCTTCCTTAGCACGGCCATGCAATTTTATTTCCTGGAGACTTTGGCGGTCCTGGTTTACAAATAAATGACAGTTGTACTTATACAATACTTAAGTCACTGGTTTAGTCAATCAAGAATCAAGTGATGCTCTTATTATAAACAATATCCAAAATAAGGGAAGAAATGTTTTTCAGATGTCAGATATACACAGCTTAAATGAATTGTTGCGATCGAGAGATGCGAGATCATGACTCAGAGATTCAGAAAAACATCCCAGGGTTATTTCTAGTTCAATTTAAATATATGTAAACTTGACGACAAAATATGTTGCAACTACGCTGGAACTTCCACAGTTCAAACTTCCCTACTGTTTTGTAAATAACTCGCGATTACTCAATTTTTTTTGGTTCGGGATATGGATATTCAACTGCTTGGAATTCTGGCGCATAGGAACTAAGAGCTTTTGCCCGTACCCTAAAGTCGGTCTGTACCCATTTTGGCGAACGACAACTGTCCCTTTCTGTACTCTAGTGCTCTGCTGAGCAAACCGCCAACAAAACAAAACGTCATGAAAACAGCCGAGCGAAAGTAAGAGAACAGATGCTTCATTTTTTTTTTTGCTTTTTCGCAATCATTGTTATTGCATTTTTTTGTATAGAGGGAGAGTGTCAATGTGTATATGTGTAGTTGGCAGTGTTTTCAGCTTTCTTGATTCTTGCATAGCACACATAATCACATGGTTAATATTGCATTTTCTTGGGAAATAGATAAGAATCGTACTTAAAGATTTTTGGAAAATACCGGTGCAATTTGCTGATGATGACTTTAGCGGGTCCGATTTTCTAGCTTTTGGTAAGTTTTGCTGTCGTCGTTGTATTGAACAAAGGGTTTGGCGAGTTATAAAATAGCCCAGTTCCTCCAACTGGTATGCTGTAGTTTCTTGTGTGGGTATATGTGTTGCTCGGATGTCTTTTTATTCATTTCTTGTTAAGTATACATATTTGTCCCAACAAGTTTGTGGTTTTTCATTGTTGTTTTTGGTTTGGAATATTCTATTTTGTCAAAAGTCTCTGCCCGTTACTTAATTGTAGCACATGCCACTAGCAAGGGCCGAGTGGAGCGTCCGTTGTTCTTGAAATCGGTTTAATAACTGAGAGTCAATTGACGCGCGAACGAGCAAACAGTGAAGTGAGCCAACAACAAAACAAGTGCACTCGCACACTTCGGCAGCAGTACCACTACCACCATGGTAATTTTATTCGGCACTTCGAACGAATCGCTCGCGAAGCTAAATGTTCTAAACTTGGTTTCTCTCTTGCTCTCTCTTTTTCATTCACTTGCACTCTCTTTTTGTGAACGCTTTTCTCTCGACATATTTATACCCTTAATTAGGGTAGGGTCGTATGATTTTGACCAGAAGCTTTTCCCTCCATCCTTAAAGAGCGTGTTCAAATGTCTTTCTCAATAACTTAAGTCGTCTATTTGTTTATCCCTTTCTATACAGTTTTAAAGCTTTAAGGTTGAAAAATTTAGATTCACCTTAAAAATTAAATTCACTTTAAATGAAAATAGTTCTAATATGAAAATAGAATATGTTAATCTGCATAATTTATGATTTTTTACGCATTTAATTATACAAAATAAACGACCAATGTAAATATTAATTTTACCTTCCATAATCTAGTCAACATTTCTTAGCTTGATAACATCCCGTATGTTTCGGATAATTATAAGAAATTGGAAATTCAACCAGAATGGGCCAAAATGGCCTTTGGCAAACACCAATAATGATCATGTTATTTTGTTATTTTATAACAAACTATAAGATAAAGCGATACACATATTTTCGGTTTTTATGCGTGCAATTGATGGTGGCTGAACTTGAATTGTAGCAACTAACGTCGAGCTCTGGCATCTTCATTAGGAATCCAATCCCTTAACGAAAGTTAACGAACGTTTTATTTCTAGTAAAATAAACTATTTATGACCGAAATCGTCTGAGAAGTACTGAGGTAAAAAATTAAATTGGCATAAAAACTGGTAAAAAAAATGGGAACATATAAACCTTTTTGATTGTAATAATAATGTTGCTCGTGACGCCGAGTGCAGGAGTGTGTGGAAGTGTGTAGTTAAATCAAGTCTAAAAGGGCTTGCGCGCTGAGTGCATGTCCTTCCGTCGAACACTTTTAGTACAGGTCCCCTCACCGCGCACTGCGCTAGCCAGCTTACAGTCTCTCTTCGGTCCTCGGCCCCATATCCAACCCCTCGTATCTGAAAACTAGGACAAGAAACGAAAGTGCATAAGCGCTTAACATTTGCGTACACAGATTATGTATTTTATAGCCTAGTTACACACACGAAAGTTACCTATCGATATCGGACTAGACGCAATGACGCAGAACTGCCTTTTACACTTGGTACATATACATATACGAGAATATGCGTCTGCCTGAGAAAAAAAGCCGTTATTTGTTTTGATATGTAAATGAAAACTAACAAAATCTGGGAACGCAACAATAAAGCTAACAAAAATGACGATTTATAGCAATGAAAACCTTGGCAATGATGAATTTCATTATTTAATGGGGTATTCTGGTCTAAAAGCCTGAATTTTAAGCATTTTTTAAGTAAAGCCTAGTACTCAGATCGACGAACAGGTTCGCCAGCGAAAAAACTTTATTTTTTCAAGTAAGACCAAAGTTTTCTGTGGCTTATCATAAAAACATAAGCCTAGTACTCAGATCGATGAACAAGCGAAAAATCTTTATTCTTTCTAGTGAGACCAAAGTTTCTGAATATACTATCAGATTCACCCACATTCATTCGTGTGCTTTGGTCATACTGTCAATCAGCTGTGTTTGTTAGCAAACAAATTATTGAGAAACCACAATCAAAGATGTTGAATATAAACGACGCCAGAGGTTAATTTGGTATTGGAATGGTGGCAGATACGCGGCTTTTTCGTGTTTTTGTCGTTTTTCGCTTGCAAGTTCAAATCCAACAACGCTAGGGCCTGACAAACATTCATCGAAAGTTCATCACAGACGTCTGGCAACACTCTGCACTTTTTTAGTATTCCATCGATCTGAGTACCGACGTGCAAAAAGGCACTGACGAAAAGTGTTTGCCGGTTATTTGCCTCTCGCTCTCTCCAATAGGCGGCCAACGGTTATCGTCGCTCTGAGTACTAGGCCTTGCCGGGGTCTGGCGTACGTTCACCCAAAGAAATCTGGCGACGCTTTGCAATTTTCTGGTAATTTTTCGGTCTATTTGAGCACCGGGGTGAAAAATGGCGAAAAGTGTACGCTCATAGCTGGCATACGGATTTCGTCGATCTGAGTACTAGGCTTTAATAATACGGGTATGACTTTACATTGATCGCCCCATTCATTGACGAATTAATTGAAGCTCAAAGACAGAGACAACTATATGGATACGGCTTGAGATTTTTTTGGTTGTTATAATAACGGTCACCCTGTCTTTTTAACGTTAAATTCAAACTTTATGGTTTTGTTTATTATATTGTGTTTATCCCGCTTATTTTAACTTTTAAAGGTTTTCAGTTGTAACCTTTTAATGGTAAAAAATATTTCGTATACATTTATCTCGAATCGCTTTTTTATTTCGCTTTTTCGCCAACTCCAAAAAATAACCATAATTGTACTTTTTAAATACAATTTTGCTCATTGATGTATCGGTCCGCTGGTATTTCATCGAATGGTATTTTTATACCAAAATCCGGTTCATATTTCTAACTATCGGGTATCGGTTCTGACAAGTTTCCTCATTCATTGCTCATTGGAATCGTCATAGGTTGTCTTGCTTGCACTTACGTAAAATCGTATGGCTAAAACAAAAAATGAGCAATGAATGAGGCGATCAATGTAATGTCATACCCGTATTATTAAAGCCTAGTAGTGCCATTAACAAAACCAGGTTGATAGGGTAATATTATTTATTTATTTATTCATTTATTCGCCAATGGATATATCCTTATCTGGCTATCAGCTAATAGCCTGATTCCATTGCCGCATTAGTGGACTTTTTAAATGTGCCTGATTCCATTGGCGCATTAGCATTTAGCAAATGCTACTCCGACATCTGATTGGCACTAACAGCTGATCTGGGCTTGTATACTTTTGAATTTTGGCAAATCCAAACGAAAATAATTAAAATTATTGAACATGAGTGAGTTTACTAAACTCTGTAATGCTCAGCAGGACATCCATATTGCGACCGAGACATTTGCCAACTTGGACGACAAAGAAGAGAAACTGATTGTGTTGTTATGACGGGCTTGCAATGGAGACCACCACAGTTTCTAAGAAGGGCAAGGATCTCCGTATATGTGAGAGTTATTTAATGCCAAAAATCCAGCAGTATTCCATTGTGGTACTGCGAGTAGAATTTGAAGCGTGCGCTCTAGGTTTCAGTCATTTTTATACAAAATAGATTTTATATTCAAAAGACATTAAAAATTGCGCCAACCTTGCTTATAGAAAACAGCTGTTGTAGTGGTGGCACGAAGAAAATATCGTTAAACATCGGTATTTTCCGGTATTTTTTCTAAAAACTTTCGGGGCGAATGGTTTTTAATCGCATTTAAAAATCGCATTTATTTTAAATGCGGCATTTAGCCTTATGGGATTCCCTGTGTAAATAAATGCGCATTTGGCTAAATGCGTTTTAATGCGGCTATAACTTAACTTAAAACTAAGTATTAATTAAAAAATATTCCCTAAGTAACTGCCTAAGCACATCCTTCTTGGATCCCCAAACCAATCGAATACTTAGTGGCAAGGAGTTAAAAAGTCTTAAAGTTCTTAATGAGCCATCATTACGCGCATAATTAGTCCTCGCAGCACTTTCAAAAAATGGGATGATGGTACGGAGACTCCTGACAGGGATATTAAATTTAATTGAGCTTAATATTAATGGACTATATATATTACCAATTATAACATCATTAATAAAGAGCAAGCTCGCTATCGAACGGCGATCTTCTAGACTGCAGGTATGCAGAAGGCAACATTGGCTAGAGTAAGCTGGCAAAGGTACCGAAAAGTTTAACGGCTGAAGTGCAAATTTTAGGTACTTTTTCTGCAGCCTCTCAATTCTATTGATATGGACAGCACTTGACGGGTTCCAAATAAAGGAAGCATATTCCACTCTTGAACGCACAAAAGCTGAGAACACTATCAGTCGTGAGTACGGGTCCTTAAAAAGTATGGTGTTTTTTTTTGACAAATCCGAACATTGCATATGCCTTCGGCAGAACATGGTTCATATGGTTAATAAACAAAAATGTACTGTCGAAAATGACCCCAAGATCCATAATCTCAGTAAGTGCAGAGAGTGAACGGTTATTGATAACATATGTAGAAAGAATATTTAAGATACATTTACTATAGCGAACAACATAACATTAATTTAGGTTGAGAGGTAAATAGTTCTGAATACACCATAAACTGATTTTGTTCAAGTCCGATTGTAGCAAATAGCTGTCATTTAAGGAATTCACTCGCATGTATATTTTAAGGTCATCCGCATAAAGAAGATACTTGGCAGATTGAATGCAGAAACAAATATCATTAATGAAAATAATGAAAAGCAAAGGACCAAGAGAACTGCCTTGAGGAAGACCAGAGGTTGCTTCAAAGAGGTTAGAAACAAACCCGCTCACCTCAACATGATAGGATCGGTTTGCCAAATAAGAAGAGATCCAATTTAGAAAAGAGCCGTGAATACCAAGCTTAGAAAGTTTTGCTTGCAAGGCAGAGTGAGAAACCTTATCAAAATCCTTGGCGAAATCAGTATAAACTGTGTCCACTTGGGAATGTAACTCAAAGGCTTGTATGCAATGTTTAGCGAAAATAGCTAAATTCGAGGTAGTAGAACGACCAGGCATGAACCCGTGCTGATTAGGGTCAATATAAGTACGTATCAGTAAGGATAATTTTTTAACTACAATTCTCTCGAATAGCTTGGCAATATTGCTTATTTTAGCAATCGGCCTGTAATTAGAAACCTCAGACTTGCTTTCGCCTTTATGAACCGGTAAAATTTTGGCAATTTTCCATCTAAAAATAAATTTACCCTGAAGTAGCGAAGACGAGAAGATCATCTTAAGGGGTTGAAGAAGACTGTGATAAAATTTTTTAAGAAAAAATGAAGAAACTCCATCAATGTCCA